GCTAAATAATTACCCTTTTTTCTTTTTCTAGTTGTCTTAGCCCTTTTGTATTTGTGGCAATAAGGAAAATAGAATTGTTAAACTCTTAAATAATTATAGTATGTTATTGTAAGGACATCCTGTCATCAGTTTATTAATATATTGCAATCAAATTATCAAAGAACCTTTCCCTCTAATTCCCAGAACTACACTGGCTGTGGCCTCAGGCCACATAAGGAAAATTTTGGATTCCCATGGGCATCAGGTCTTGATTTGGGTTCTTCCCAAGTTTGTGCTGTGTCTGGGACTCTCTGCGGCCATTAGCTGTGTCCACATCCTTGGTGAGAAGCTCTGAACAGAGCTGAAGTCACACCACTGCAACCACCAGGAAGGCTCCAGGTGCCAATTCTGGTTCTGCCCATGATTCTTTTTAGAGTCTCATTCTGTCACCCTGAGTACCATGGTGTCATCATAGCTCACAGCAGCCTCAAACTTGTGGGCTTGAGCAATCACCTTGCCTCAGCCTCCAAAGCAGCTGGGACTACAGGCGCCCAAAATCATGCCCGGCTAGTTTTCTATTTTTAGTAGTGACAGAGTCTCACTCTTGCTCAGGTTGGTCTCAGACTCTTGACCTCCAGCAATCCACCTGCCTCTGCCTCCCAGAGTGCTAGGATTACCCTCTCATTTTCATGCCAACACACCACCATCCCTGCGGCTATCCCCAAGATGCAGACAAAGACGGGCATCTTTCTTCCTCCTCTCCAGAGCCAACCCTTCCCCAGCGCCTTTGACCTTCCCCTCCACCTCTATTTACTGCCACTACTCGGCACCACCCACATCTCAGGGCTCCATCTCAACTGCTGGCAAATATGCCCAGGCTTTATTCTATTTTCAAAAGCGGCCAAGAAAACCCAAATGCCTTTGCTTGACCTTTTCTAGTCTATTTATTGCTTTCCTTTTGCGGCAACAAGACGTCTCAATTTCCTCTTTCCTCATGGCCCCTTAGTTTTACAATCCAGCTTCCTCTCTCCCTCATTCTATTGAAATTGTGTCCTCCGAAGTCAACAGTGGTGCCCCCGAAGAGGATTTTTGTTTTAGTCTCGTTCTTCTCATTTCCGCAGAAGCATCGATTTTTTTCTTTCATCCTCCACTCTGATGTGGTTCTCGGGTTTATATTTGTCCACCTATTGCCTAATTGGCTTTTCCAAACTGATCCCTGCACAGCATCATGGTGAAGAGTCCAAGGTCTGACATTAGCCTGCCTGTGGTTGGATTCTAACCCTGCCACTAATTAACTGTGCGACCTTTGCAAAGGTAATCGCTCTGTGCCTCAGTTTCCCCAGCCTTAAAATAGGGACTGTAGCATTTACCTCAGGTTTGTTGTAAGAATTGAACAATAGTCTGTATAATATTTACATCAATATACAGCACATAGTTTTCATTAAACGCTATCAGCATAACAGTAAGCTCCTAGATCTCCGAAAACAACTTACCCCCCCTTTTGAGACATATTGCCCACATTAGCCAACACAAGGCTAGATAATAAATAGTTATTGATAAATAGGTTTATGTACATGATTGTAGAGCCCAGGAAAGAAGGAATGATGGGCGGAGCGAGGCTCCTAAATTCTGCTGGTGCTATGACACCCAAGTTTTCATATTTTGTTTCGTTTCTACCAATAAATCAGTTAAATTGTTGAGGGTTTAATTCACTTCTTTCTGGACTTACGGTGTTTGTTGAGCAGGAAGGGGGCGTCAATGGTTAAAGCTCTAGTTGTTGGTGCAATGATCAGTCACGAGGCTGCTTGGACAGGAGCCCAGCGTCCCACCCGCAGATTAAAGGCGCTCTAACAGGCCCATGCAGGGAAGGACGCCGCCCAGCTGCGGCTCCGCAGAGGCCGCCCGCATCCCGTCCACTGGGCGATGGCGCCATCTCGCGGCAGCAGTGGGAACGGGGCCGAGCAGGGCTGTTCCGCGCGGTGCCGGGGACAGCGGCCCTCTATGTAGAAAGTGTGGGCCACGCTGGACCGGAGGGAAGAGTAAGGACAGACCACGGCAAGGGGGCGAAGGAAAAACACCTCGGCACAGTGAAGGGAAGCAAAGGGCGCAAGTGATGCTTGGGCCCGCCTACAGCACCCTAGTCATGCCATTCCAGGAATTCCCTCCCCCACCCTAATACCCATAAACTTTGATCCCCTCCCTCCCCCTCTCCCAGCTCGGGTTTGATTCTCGTTTTCCAACACGCTGTGCTGACCTGTTATCCTGAGCAGACCCTGCTTCATCTTTAATAATTACTCTTCCTTGTTAGGAATTCCCAGCTGGGAGCATTTAGCCGCGTCATCACATTCGACTGCCACTCGGGAGAGCAGCTCGGGCTGCAGCGCCACCGCAGCGGTTCATCACGTGACGCCACCGCAGGAGCCACAGGTAAGGGACAGCGCGGGCCAGGGCGGCCCGGCCGCGTGGGGGAAGTCGGCGGGAGCAGCGCGAGTTGAACACCGAGGTTGCAGCCATCTAGCGGTGTTCTTTTCGTAAAACCAATGTGGTTAATGTTAACCATGAAGCCGATTTTTTTTTCACAAACTATGTTAATTGATTAATAGATGGGTTATAGATCATTGTATTGTCAGCAAAGAGCTTTAAGATGGGAAGGACGGAAGAGAAAATGTTGATGCTTGAAACTTAAGTGTCTCAGTGCATCTCCCTCCCGGCCCTGTCTGGGAGCTGAATGTAGACTTGTAAGGGGGTGATGAGAAGTTCAGCTCTGGGAGTCTTGAAATCCACTCTGCCACTGCTGTTGGATTTGGGGTGACCCGTCTAACATTCATTACGCTCGCTAAGCCCCATTTTGTCTTTCTCTAAAATGAGGACTGTTAAACCTACCTATGAAGGTCATTGTGAAGATTAAACGAAGTACTGTGAAAACGCCGTCCTGTGAGAGATTGATACTGGATTTTAGAGAGTTAATGAAGGAAGTAGGTTAAAGCAGAGAATCAAAATTCATGATACACACCTCAAATATTTTACCTTAAAATGTAAAATGTCTTGGCTCGGCGCCTATAGCTCAACCGGC